GGTTGCCCTACTCCCCCCAGCTGAAGGAGCACCTGGCCATCGACATCTACGGGGCGCGGGGGCTGGCGCTGGCCCAGGGCGGCGTGGTGGAGACCGTCTCGGCCTACAAGTTCTACCTGGCCTTCGAGAACTCCCAGCACACGGACTACATCACCGAGAAGCTCTGGAGAAACGCCTTCGCCGCCAGCGCCGTGCCCGTCGTCCTGGGCCCCCGCAGGGCCAACTACGAGCGCTTCATCCCCGCCGACTCCTTCATCCACGTTGACGACTTCCCCAGCCCCCAGCTGCTGGCCACCTACCTGAAGTTCCTCGATAAAAACAAACCCAGCTACAGAAAGTATTTTGCCTGGAGGAAGAAGTACGATGTCCACGTCACCTCCTTCTGGGACGAGCATTTCTGCAGGGCTTGCGAGGCTGTGAGGGCAGCCGGGAATCACGTCAAGACTGTGCAAAATCTGGCCGGCTGGTTTGAAAGCTGATGTTGCTGGCCTGGCCAGCCCGTGCCGGCGGTGGTCGGTGCCAAGGCGAAGGGAAGGAGAAGTCCCACGGAGGTTGTTAGCTGAGGTAGCACACAGAGCGCTGTGTCCTCAGTGAGAGAAGCATACGGGTACAGGTAAACAAGCTGTGAATTGCCTACAAAAGGCTGATTTTTATCAAAGTACGAAATTATGGAAGTACAAAGAAATACTAGGCAAGGTGATTCTTCAAGAGCGTAGTTAGATTACCAGAAATCTTACCGATCTGCAACCTTTACAGCTGTGCATAGCTCGACTCAAATAACCGATGCCAAGTTCTGCAGCCGTACAGCTGAAACCAATTTTGTCAGCTATGACAGCTTCCTGGACCGTGAAACTTGCTCCTGCTGACAGGGGATGCATGATCAGTGCTGGCTTTCTGTACTCGAAAGACAAATGAGAGTATTTTGAACGGTGATTTTTACGCGTGTGAAAGCTGTTCGCAGACAAATGCAGAACCGCGAGTCTTGAATGTCCGAATGTAATGATTCAGTAGCACTTTTTAGCAATGTTTAAAATTGCAGCAGCCAACTAATAATTCTTTGAGCCAAATAATAATAATAATTCCATTTAGGAAAAAGTGTATGGAGGGGACTGGATCTGAGTGGAACAAAGAGCTTGGGTGATGAAGTGTATTTCTTCCCCTGCATACCAGAACCATAGGCGTGTTTATCCTGTACAAAAGTGGAGAATGGCTTTAAGTACAGGAAAAGATGAACTGTAGAAAGAAAAGTTAGAACATTTCCACCCTCCCTTCATTCAGGAATTAGAATATGTTTACAGGAGTCTGCATGTTTTTCTCTGCGAAGTTACTGCCATATAGCAAAAAGCAGGGAAAGGCTCAGAACTACAGGGTTTTTAATACTATATTGAATATGCATACAGAAAAGTGAACTTCTCTGGTGTCATTAGACTGTCCTGTTGTGTAGTGATTGTTTTGGTTCAAGGCACGTGTTTTTAAAAATTCTGCTGGGTGACAGACTACTCACAATGCTGCTTTGCTGTTTATAAAATAACAATTGCCAAAAAACCCCAACCCCAAAACTCAAGGCCCAAATCACTGCCATTCAAAATAAAAATTACTGTACAGAATAAAATCTAGACTGTTGGTAAAATACAAATTGTGTGAGGAAAGAGTATGAGAAGGGAGTGATTTTGTTTTTTCTTTGGTTTTGAGGGGTTTTTCCTGCTCAGTTTTTTATTCAATAAATATGTTCCTGAGATAAAACTTCCATCTCTCAGTGTCTACTGGGAGTGTTTGCAGTAGTTACTCCCTTTCAGACTCTGCCGTTCTGTTGGAGTAAGATCTTCCTAGCAGTCAGCATATGGTTACTTTTTGGTTACTTGTAATCTTGCATGGGGAAATCCATAAGGAAGCCTCAATTGCAACTTGCACGTCCACCTGAAGTTGAGCCTTCCCTGCCCTTTACAACTATAGGATTTGGTGGCAAAAAATGATGAGCCACGAGGGTCCTGCACAAACGATTTAAGGGATTTATCCAGTTCCTATTTAAGGGTCTGGATAATCCATGAAAATACGCAGAGAGTTCACTTGGAATAAAACCATGGGCACAGAACAGGTGGGGAAAGAAGAAGGTCAGTTGCAAGTAAAAGCTGGGCATCAGAAGGGGTGAGCTTCCTGGCATCTGTGAGCTGTATTTGGGTTAGAATAGGATTAGGTTTGACTTGAGCAGTAAACGATGTCGGCTAGGTGCTCTTTAGATGTATGAGCTGACAAGTCTGCTGTAATTTATCGTAAATTAGATGATCCCTATGATTAGGCAAGTATGTAACTAAAGATTATTGAAAAAAATCTTTGGTAATAATGAAACTCATGAATAATCTGCACAGATTTACCAGGTCATATCTTGCTGGCTGCTATGTTTATTGCCTTCTGCTTTTGCGAAAAGTACTTTTTGCTAAAAGTACTTGGTGGACGTTTCTGTTGCTAATGCCAGAGTTGCTGTCACAGTTTTGTTGGGAAAGGAGAGTCAACGTGATGTGGAGTGTGGTAGGGATTGTAACTAATGCTGCATTTTCACCTGAATGGGTCATAAGTGACTGTTTAAAGTAAAAGCATGTTCCTCATTGCGTGCCCGTCTCTTTCTCTGCCAGCGGCTACAGCTTCCAGAGAATTGGCTTTGATAATCTGAGAAATCTAATTTAGGTATAGCATTAACAGTAGTAGCTAAGTGTCGGGATAATAGAATCGGTTTCCCTTTGATTTGTCCTTTTTTTCTATTTAGTTTTTTATCGTGATTCATGTAAATATATATAAATAAATGGATAAATAGATATAAATAAATATTTTAATCTTAAAAGCAGTGAGCAATCTTTGAAGACCAGTATTTAGGATTGCACTACTTTTTTATCAGTCTACTGAAACTAGTGCATTTTTTTCAGTCCGTCTAAATTTTTTAGCGTTTTCTGGAAGTTTCCAGGCACACATCGCTGTGTGATCATTAGTGATGCCATAGGCAGAAGATCAGGCTGTGGGAATGTGGGAATTTCTAAAGATTGCAATTGAGACTTTATTTTTCTCAGCCTCGCTAAGAAAAGCAGTTGAAATCTTTGAACTACAGTTTTGTAAAATCCAGGAGAGCTGTGCAATAATTAAAGCATCGTGCTCGAATAAGGTGTAAATCAGCCACTTGTTGCATGGTTGTGCTGTATTTGTAAGTTACACATTGAGTATTTTCATGAATTATATAATCAAAACTGCAGTCTTGTAACAATTATTGGAGAGCACTTGCTTTGGGAGAAAAGCGAAGCGTTTTCTAGTCTCATAGTTCTTGTGTGAGTGTTGCACACTTTTCCATTTTGACTTGGGAGGGAATTCAGCCCTGGCCTACAGCTGCTGAAGTCAGTAATACAGCATCGCTATAAAGCTGCTTTGGTTTTTGGCTCGTCCACTCCTCAGGCTAATAGTTAGTGTGCTGTTATATGCTAAGGACTGTCTTTTGTAACTCGCTTTATAAAGCCCAAGTTCAATGCTGAATAAAAAATTTGTCTGAGAAAACTGCATTGTATATCAGGTACCAGACTCCACAATTTATTGCAGGTGATGTATATAACCAATCTATAAAAATTAAGCCAATTTATTTTCTATTTTAAGTAGAAAGGTCTTTTTGAATACATTTTGAAAAAGTGTTTTATTCCATGCCTTAAAATATAGGGGTGGAGGGAGAGAAAGGAAGATCATTATCTTCTGTTTTTATAAGGAGAAGAATTAATATTATTTTTTGATTGTGGTAAAGATGGAATACAGAATTATGTGATCCGTTAAGTTACATATTGAATCTCAGGGAATGTTATGCTGTAAGATGTCTTAATCTTCACAGAATGAAGCAACTTTGTATTAATTATTTAGATTGACCCTCAATAAAATTAAAGAAAGGAAGTAGCACAAAATGACCGTATTCTTTTATTTTTGTCTTCTTTCTGTGTTACGAAAGTTGTAGAAACTGATTTTTAAAGATAATTAATTTATTTTTGTGTTTGTTTAATCAATAGAAGTGGCTGATTGTTCTCAAAGTAGTCAGACTGTCTGAGGTTAGGAATGAAACGTGGTTGTGCCAGGAGAAAAATATTTTTATAGGAGAGGCCGTGCTGAGTTATTTTCCGTATGAAAAGGAGCATTTATTGAAGTTGGATGTCTGCTGCAAAAATGTCATTTCAAACAAAACCAAAGAACAAACTTTCTCTTGACGTACAGAGAATTTGAGTGTGGTTGGATTTTATTCCCCCGCTTAAATTTCAAAATGAAATGGAGATTGTGTTTATTTTGATATTCAGCAGGTAGTGCTACAGCTACCTTTTTAGCTGCAGCTTTTCTCGTGCTTGTTCGTCATTGCCTTCAACTGAGCAACAAAAGACAAAGGGCCCAAAGCTCTTTTCCCTGAGCTTTTGTTAACAAGGATTGCAGCACAGATGATTGCTTACCTCTCTTTTTACTGATCTTCTATACTGTTTGGTGCATATTATTGAGAACCTTCAGCGTTTCTGAAACTTCCAGCGCAGCCAGGATGGGCCAAGTGCTACAGTCCTCGCTTTTCTCCCCGTCAGGTGATTCATGCTGTATCACCGTCACTTTCACATTTGGAAGTAGAGCTTAAACCGACGGCTTGTTTACTCACGTCCGAGAGGGAAAGCGTTTTTTGGTGGTTTTCCAGACGCGGTTGAACTCTGGGTTGAGGAAACTGGTGGAAAGATTTTTCTGCCAAACACTGAGTATCATTTGTACAAGCTTGTTTGGTGACTCCGGAGAAGGGAGTTGCACCTTATTAAACTCACACAGCCTTCTGTCCAACAATCGTAGAAAATGGTATTTGTTTTAAGAGTGTAAACACTCCTTTGTAGCGAGCATAGAGCTGGCTCAATCTAAAGTCTGTTGACAAGAACACAATGACAACGTGGATTTAAGTGGTATTTAACTAAAGATAAATCAGGATCCAAGTACAAAAGCCCATTTCTAATCAGTAAAAAAAGTCATTATTTGAATAAATCAGGTGTTGCTTGTAACCAGCTCTGTTTAACAGTGATGATCTGTGTATTCTGTATTTTATTCTGTATGGGCAGTTTAAAAACAATACTTGAGGCCAGAGTATCTATGTCTGCTCTACATTCTGCAGATGTTTTGCTTTATGATCTTAAGCTAGATACTTAAGCCTATATTTGGCACAGTGGTGGCTATGCATTCCTGGGAGTCTCACCCCAAAGAATAGCTGAGAGGGGTAAGACAAAGCCTGTTTTTCAGGAGTGCTTTGAGAGCTGCAGGTATCTGGCACCGCCAGCGGTAAGGTGCTCAGCGTCTTCAGGAAGCGTCCTGAAGCTACAAGCCCCTTTTAACTGGAAAATTTTCTCTTGAGGAGTAAATAGTTCTCCAAACCTGTAAAGCTATTCAGTAATTTTAGGTCCCTGGAATTACAAAATTGCATGAGTTTGAATTTTGCAAACAGTTAAAATGGGACTTTATTTCAGTAACACTCAATATTTTAATAATATTCTTTTAGTAGCTCAATATTTTAATAATATTCTTTTAATAACTATCAAAACCTGAAACTTGCATTTCTCTCTATTAAACTACCTTTTGACATTAATCAGCCCACAGGTTGGTTGTATGCATTATGGAAGACAACTCTGCATTTGCATCCTTGCATTTGCCAGAGGAGTTAAAGATGCTCTGTGGGCTTGGGATGGCGGGAGGCGAAGTGCAGGAAGAAGCGGAGCACTGGCAATGCCCAGGCTGTGGCGTGCTGCGGCCCCGAGCGCCTGATCGCAAGAGTGCCTGTGGCTGGAAATTGGACATCTTGTTTACGAGCAGAAGGCAGAAAAGTGATTGCAAATATGAAGTGTAGATTATTGCATTGTAAGTACATTTTGGTGCATTTGTAATGCTGCCAAATAAATCCTACGTTAATGGATTTATTTGAAGCAAGCACAACAGGACTACGTGAGATGCAGCGAAAGACCTGTCCTAAATGCGAAATTGGCTTTAAAATGGAAAAATGATACAGAAATTTAAAAAAAAAAATTGCTTACAATTGCAGGAAAACATGGATATAGATTTTAAACTCAACTGTGAACAAAGAGAATTTTCTTCAAAATGCTGACTCTCGCCCCAATTAAAAACAGAACATAGATTCAGAGTCATGCTTGTGCTCGTGCTCAGAATCACAGAATCACAGAATAGTAGGGGTTGGAAGGGACCTCTGCGGGTCATCTAGTCCAACCCTCCTGCCGAATCAGGGTCACCTACAGCAGGCTGTAGAGGACCTTGTCCAGGCGGGTCTTGAATATCTCCAGAGAAGGAGACTCCACAACCTCCCTGGGCAGCCTGTTCCAGGGCTCCGTCAATCATATCTGTTTCTGAACAGGAATGGCCTCCCGACACTAAGACAGAGCTCCAAACGTTTTAATTTTCTTCCAGTCCCAAACCTGCCTTTTGCTTGCCTTAATGCTAGTTTCCCTTCACTGTTGTTCACACGTTGCTCCTCAAGTGTGCACAGGCCTGGGGCTCTGATGGCTTCGCACTTCAGAGAAGCAGAGCTAAGAAGAGACAAGATGATACATGGACGTTTGCTGAGAATTTTGGTCGGATTTTGCAGTAGTCCTGGGATAAATGCAAGTAAGCAGTACAGGAATATTTGGAAGATGAAATAAAGAAGCATGTTTTTATGGTAGTATTTTATCCAAGACCCCAGCCTGGAGTGAAACATCAGATTTTAAGGCTGCGACTTTATGCTGTGGGTTTTCTATTTATTGGTGAAGATTATTTTATCAGGTACCCCTGAATATTTCCACTGCTATATTATCTCAGAATCATGGAATATGGAGTAAATATAGTAATATGATGTATTACTAGTAATATAAAATATTCATACAATAAATATAGTAATATAATGAGCAAATATAGTAAATGTAATAACTGAAAAAAGGAGTTTGTTTAATTAGAGCAGAATTTTGGGTTCAGGCTCTAATAAAGCCCTGTCAGGCACATTAATGAAAAAACACAGTTTCACCACTGTGTGCATTACAGCAACTGGTGAGGAAAGTTTTCTATGCTGAATCTTGGGAGAAAAGCTAAAGCCTGCAGGATGCTGAAATACTCTTCCTCATAATTTAGTGGCGTTTTATTCCATTGCGCTGCCATTATGTCAAACCTAGTTTTTGTTCTTAAATGCAGGTATTAAATGTATTCTACCATTTTACAAAAGTACTTTAAAAATATATTTCACTGGTGTAACTGGGAAAAGGAAGTTGTTTGTGGAATTAGAGCACTGAGCTAAGAAGCAGGAAGTTTTTGCAGTAGATTTTTCCACTGTAGCTGTGGGCAAGTTATTTGTGAATGTAGGACTGGTCTGAAGCCCTGGGTCCTGTCTTCTGCAGACTTCGCTTTAGGTCCTCTGGAACAGATCCTCACTTTTGCAGGAGTGCATTTGGTTTCCAGAGATACTCTGGGCATACACAGCTGCAGTCGGCTGCCTGCATCCTGGGTTTTGTCTGCTTGCTTCTACCTCTGCCCCTGCGTGACAGAAAGAGGAGAACAAAGCCACCACCAGGTCCTCTGTCTCTTCTCTTGCAATCTTCTGTCCCTTTCCCATCCTTGCTCTGGACAATGCTCTTCATGCTGGAGGAGGGTCAAGATGCAAGCATCTACGAGAGACAGCCTGTGAGCGAGCTCGAGATAGAGCTTGAG